CCCCGCCTTCACCCCCTCCCCATCCTGACGTCGAGCTGTGCCCGCGGGAAGTCTCAGAGCGCCCGGCGCTCCTGGAGGGACAAGACGCCCTCCCGCGCCGGCGGAGTGCGGGGTCTGGTGACCAAAACCAGGGGGAGGGACGACGGATGCCGGGGGTGGAGCTGGGGGTCAGAACAGAGACAGAAGAGACAGAGAGAAGGGGAGACAGAGACATTGAGGGAAACCAGAGAGAGGAACGTGCCCGCGGGAAGTCTCAGAGCGCCCGGCGCTCCTGGAGGGACAAGACGCCCTCCCGCGCCGGCGGAGTGCGGGGTCTGGTGACCAAAACCAGGGGGAGGGACGACGGATGCCGGGGGTGGAGCTGGGGGTCAGAACAGAGACAGAAGAGACAGAGAGAAGGGGAGACAGAGACATTGAGGGAAACCAGAGAGAGGAACTGATTCCCTGCCCCTACGCCCTCCCCGGCCCCGCAAGGGGCTCCCAACTGCCCCGGCCCTCCTCCTCGTCTCTCCCTGCCCCCATCTCTCCCGCCGGGTCCCCGTCCTGTCCCCGCAATGCCCTCTCCCAGCCTGTGTCTCCGGACTCTGGTTCTAAACGAGTGCCCAAGGAGAGTCAGGATAAAGGAGGACCCCCAGCTCCAGCCAGTGCCCGCCGTCGGGCTGCCAGGATAAAGGGACGCTGGGAAGCCAGCTCGGATGGGCCGCCAGCTTGCCAGCCCCACAGCCCCCCGGGGATAGCCAGGAAGGGAACTTCAATTTGCCCTCCGCGCCGGGTGCACCCATTGACCAGAGAGCCTGACGGCAAAGCAACCGCGAGTGCATCGCTGGCCCATTTCACAGGCCGGTAGACTGAGGCCAACACAAGGGAACAAGCGTCCTCAGATCAGCCTGCGTGGCAGGTTGGTTCCCCCAAAGCCTGACCGCAGACTCAGGTCTGCGCAGGAAGTGGGAAGAACGTAGCGTTTATTGAGCGCCTACTGCATGCCCTATCAGATGTCTCCACGGCAACCCCGCGGGCAGGGATGATGTTTATCGCTGCCTTGTGACGGAAGAGGAAAGATGAGGCTGGGCAGAGGCAGCTGCGGACTCCAGACCCCGACATGGAGACTCGAACCCACCTGGGCGCACTTACCCAGCCCACGCCTGGCGGCCGAGATCCTGGAAGCTTCGGAGAAGCCGGAGGCGCCTGCGGAAAGTTGGGGACGGGCTGGCGAAGAAGACGGGCGAGGAGGGCGGCGAACGTGGCCAGCGGGGTG